GGATAGCTCGGTTGGTTAGAGCATGCTGCTGATAACGCTACGGTTGGAGGTTCGATCCTTGCATGGGACATTCCTGCATTAGAGGGGGTTGGACTAGATGATTCTCAGGGTCCCTTCCAACGCTACAATTATATGTTACACAAAGGGAGGGCTAATGGGAACGGAGGTGGGGTGCATTACAATATATCACCCCCTCCCCGCAAGAAATGTATAGACATGACACATCAGAAAACCACAGCCACCCCTCCAAAGTGAATAGTTTTGTTTTGAATCAGCCAGTTTTCATGACTGATCAGATTTTCCCCGGTTAGGGAAAAGCCACATAAACCAGCAAGGAGTGGGAGATGGAATTGGGACGTGTTCAACGTTAGCACGGCAGTCAGTGCCTGGAAATGTCAGTGTCCTAAAAAATAACCCGCTGGTCTGGAAGGAGGTAGGGCAAGTGAGGAGTGAGTTGCCTCCATTGCCTCTTTTCCTGAGACTGCCTTGGAAAGAGAGTCGATTCCGAGAGAAAGAAGGAGCGTGTCCCTTGTCTGCCAGGAGAGGGCAGCCGCGAGAGATCTTTCCTGCAAACCTCCATTGCACTTTTTTTAAAAATCCCAGGAAAACATCAGAAAGAGCCAGGGCGAGTGGATCAGACCAAAAGGCCGTCCTGTTGTGCCCCATCCTGCTTCACACAGCAGCCAAGCAAGGGAAAGGCCTTAGCGCAGTGGTGCTGTGGGTTAAACCACAGAGCCTAGGGCTTGCTGATCAGAAGGTCGGCGGTTCGAATCCCCGCGACGGGGTGAGCTCCTGTTGCTCGGTCCCTGCTCCTGCCAACCTAGCAGTTTGAAAGCATGTCAAAGTGCAAGTAGATAAATAGGTACTGCTCCGGCGGGAAGGTAAATGGCGTTTCCGTGCGCTGCTCTGGTTCGCCAGAAGTGGCTTAGTCCTGCTGGCCACATGACCCGGAAGCTGTACGCCTCCTCCCTCGGCCAATAAAGTGAGATGAGTGCCGCAACCCCAGAGTCGGTCACGACTGGACCTAATGGTCAGGGGTCCCTTTACCTTTACCTTAGAATCATAGAACTGTAGATTTGTAAGGGGTTCCAAGGGTTATCTAGTCCCTAACAGCCCAGTTTAGGGAAGTTTTTAATGTTTGATGTTTTATCGCTTTGTAATAAATGAAAATCTGCCCTTATTCCCTTACAGGGGACACAAGAGCCCTTATAGAGTCCTTTGCAGGTTCTCTATCGGTTGGAGAAAATATCAGAGGCCAACCAGAGATTATTGAGAAGCAAAGCAGCTAGTAAGCCTGATCTTTATTGAACTGTTGCAACAGGGTGCCCCCCTCTCACGCAGGAGAAGGAGGAGGACCATGAACAAAGGTGTGCCTGCCCTTATATAGACATTTTAAATTGCCCGCCCTGGAGTCCAAGACCACCACCCAGACACATCATACCTACATCACAGAAAGGGCGGTCTACAGCAGAAATCTGAGTGCATTGTTTACCTCCTATCTGGCAGGTTACCTGTTAATGCTTACTTGATTGGATACCCTGGGGAGCCTGGCCAGTCTTTTGTAATGATAAATACTGAGTTCCTGAGCCAAGTCACAGGCTCACCCTATTCATACACAGACATACCCTTAAGACAGGATTTGTGAAGGAAAAGACAATGGGGAGGCTTTTCCATTTTCCTTGACCTTGCAGAGAAATCATTTGGTCAGTTTGGGAGTCAAAATGGTTTTCCTGTGCTGCTTCAGACATATGGTTATATATTTATGTATGTGTTTGCTTGGTACATTTATGAACATATATATATATATATATATATATTTGCTTTCGTAGATTTTCACGGGTACAGGAATGCAGGTTTTGGTGTCCTCGGGTGTCTTCCCGTGTAAAAGTTGGGGTGTCTAGGCGACGTTTCGACGAGGTTGAAGATGACGAGTGAGACCTCGTCGAAACGTCGCCTAGACACCCCAACTTTTACACGGGAAGACACCCGAGGACACCAAAACCTGCATATATATATATATATATATATAGCCTTATTTTTTTATTTCAGCTTTATTATTATTATTCTGTTGAGAGCCACCCAGAGTGGCTGTGGAAACCCAGCCAGATAGGCGGGCTATAAATAATATATTGTTATTATTATTATTATTATTATTATTATTATTATTATTATTATTATTTTGATGAGGACGGTATTGTGTGGATGTTGTGCCCAACTTCCGTGCCTGAGCAGCAGCGAGTGCAAAATGAAAGGCCTTGTGGAAGGAACACACCAGGAAAGAGGGGGGCTTGTGTTTCTCAGTGGAGAGGGGGGACAGGGTCCGGCAACAGCAACCGGGGAGGAACAGGGTCTGCAGAAGCTGCGCCCACATCAGGGCAGAAGGCAGAAGCAGCACACTGGGGCTACCTGGATAATCTTGGGGCCAACCTTCCACCTGGCTTACCTGCTCCCACAAACAGACAGCTTCTCTCTCACTCAAACAAGATATGGGGAGTGAATCATTAACGGCACTCAGATTGCTGAGGGCTGATCCGTAGACCCCTAGGGGTGGGGTGGGGAGAATGGGACAAGCAGAAGGAGATACCTAACAATGTAAGAAAAGCGCCCCCTGGGTCATGCCAATGGTCCGCCTGGGCCTGCCCCCTGGAGAACCCCCTCCCCCAGGTGTGGGGCACTGAGGAAACAGCTCTGTTTGCTCCCCCAGTCATGATGGAGAGCCATTGGTACAAACAGGCAGGATATATGTGTGAAATGTACTCGGAGTCGAGAGTGGATTTCATGCTCTTCATTCAGCTCATAGTGGTGAGGAGGAATGAAAGTTCCCCCAGAATGTCTGCTTTATATACATTATTTACACAAGGAGCCCCACTTGATTGGCTAATTCCGGGATTCTCCTGTAGGCCAACAAGGCTGGATCCTATTGTTCTAGGACCAATCAGACTGCTGCATTCAGAATCCTATTGTTCTAGGACCAATCAGACTGCTGCATTCTGGATCCTATTGTTCTAGGACCAATCCAGACTGCTGCATTCTGAATCCTATTGTTCTAGGACCAATCAGACTGCTGCATCTGAATCCTATTGTTCTAGGACCAATTCAGACTGCTGCATTCTGAATCCTATTGTTCTAGGACCAATCAGACTGCTGCATTCTGGATCCTATTGTTCTAGGACCAATCAGACTGCTGCATTCTGAATCCTATTGTTCTAGGACCAATCAGACTGCTGCATTCTGAATCCTATTGTTCTAGGACCAATCAGACTGCTGCATTCTGAATCCTATTGTTCTAGGACCAATCAGACTGCTGCATGCTGGATCCTATTGTTCTTAGGACCAATCAGACTGCTGCATTCTGGATCCTATTGTTCTAGGACCAACCAGACTGCTGCATTCTGGATCCTATTGTTCTAGGACCAACCAGACTGCTGCATTCTGAATCCTATTGTTCTAGGACCAATCAGACTGCTGCATGCTGGATCCTATTGTTCTAGGACCAATCAGACTGCTGCATTCTGGATCCTATTGTTCTAGGACCAACCAGACTGCTGCATTCTGAATCCTATTGTTCTAGGACCAACCAGACTGCTGCATTCTGGATCCTATTGTTCTAGGACCAACCAGACTGCTGCATGCTGGATCCTATTGTTCTAGGACCAATCAGACTGCTGCATTCTGGATCCTATTGTTCTAGGACCAACCAGACTGCTGCATTCTGGATCCTATTGTTCTAGGACCAACCAGACTGCTGCATTCTGAATCCTATTGTTCTAGGACCAATCAGACTGCTGCATGCTGGATCCTATTGTTCTAGGACCAATCAGACTGCTGCATTCTGGATCCTATTGTTCTAGGACCAACCAGACTGCTGCATTCTGAATCCTATTGTTCTAGGACCAACCAGACTGCTGCATTCTGGATCCTATTGTTCTAGGACCGATCAGACTGCTGCATTCTGAATCCTATTGTTCTAGGACCGATCAGACTGCTGCATTCTGAATCCTATTGTTCTAGGACCGATCAGACTGCTGCATTCTGGATCCTATTGTTCTAGGACCAACCAGACTGCTGCATTCTGAATCCTATTGTTCTAGGACCAATCAGACTGCTGCATTCTGGATCCTATTGTTCTAGGACCGACCAGACTGCTGCATTCTGAATCCTATTGTTCTAGGACCAACCAGACTGGTGCATGCTGGATCCTATTGTTCTAGGACCAATCAGACTGCTGCATTCTGGATCCTATTCAACTCAGTACACAACACCGTGGTTCCTTCCTTCCTTCCTTCCTTCCCAACTGCTTCTGACTGGTGGATTGGGTGGGCTCTACTTTCCTGTGCATATACAAACACACAGGGAAGAGTTGCAGCCCAGCAGGAGAGCACCTGCTTTGCATGCAGAAGGCCCCAGGTTCAGTCCCCGCTGGCAGCATCTCCAGCCAAGGCGGGGAGAGAATCCCTGTCTGAAACCTCTGAGAGCTACCGTATTCTGCCAGTCAGTGTAGGCAACACTGAGCTAGATGGACTCAGCAACAGGCAGACTCCTATGCTTCCATTTAAAGGAGCCCTTTCTTCATGAGGACTAGGAACTTGCTTTGTTTTTAATTTTAAAAAGACCACAGCTCAGCCGTGGGGGGGGGCATCTACTTTGCATGCAGAAGGCCCAGGGTTCAATCCCAAAGAAGGCCTAATCCAGTCCAGCCTCCTGTTCTGACAGTGGACACAGTGGTATTCTGAACCATCACTACCTTAGAGGCAGAGCCGAGCTAGTAGGCATCGGGAAGAGTGGGCGGAGGTCTGCCCCTCCCAATGGGTGGGGGAAAGAGGGCTTTACTCCCCAGGCCAGGTCTTTGGGGGCGAGGGAAACGCCCCCTTCCCCTCCCCATCTCACCCCCGTCCCGTCCCGGGAAACTCCAGGCCAGCTTTGCCGGGAGGCTGGTGGAGCCAGAGATTTGGGGCGGTGCTGCTTTGGCAAGGGAGGGGAGGAGGAGGAGAGGGGGCCGGGAAGGAGGGGTCGGGGTGGGGGGAAAGAAAAAGTTTTGCTGGGACCGCCGCGGGCTCGCCCTTTCGCCCGGCGAGCGCTCTTGAAGGAGGAGAGCGCGCGAGAGGAGGCCGATGCGCGGACGGGGCATCTTTGGCGACATCACCCCCCAACTGCAGCAGCAGCGACCGCGCCGTCGAAGAAGCGAGGAAGGGGGAGAAGAAGGAAGGCTCGGCGCGCGCTCCCGGGCGCAGGCGGAGGAGGAGGAGGAGGAGGAGAACGACCCGAAGCTCTTGCTGCTCCGCGCGCTGCAAATGGGAGCCGGGAAGAGGGAGCGGAGGAGGTCGCTGGGCTCCCCCTCGACGGCGCGCCCCTCCGGCGGCTGCTTCTGCTGGGCGCTGCTCCTGGCCGCCGCGCTCCTGGGCGTAAGTGGCGCTGGATGGTGGTGGGGCGCTTGGCCAAAGCGGATCGGTGCTGGGCGTCGGGGAGATCGGAGGTTGGAGCGGGAGGGGGGGCCGTCCGGAGATGCCTTCTCCTTTCTTCCTGCCCCCTTCCTTGCGCCTGGGTGGCTCCTGCCCCTCCCCGGCCGGCCCTGGGTGGGGTGCCCGCCTGCCTGCTCGCCTCCCGGGCGTCTAATTTTAAACGTGGGGCTGGGGAGGCTATTCATGGCGCGGCTGGCGTCGGCGGGCTGGCCCAGGCCCGGCTCGGCCGGCCACCGGGCTCCGCCACGTCCCGGGTGGAGTTTGGACCATGCCCGGCTGGAGGGCGCGCGGCGGCGGCGGCTGCCAGGTGGAGAAATGCCGGCGTACCCGGGGCACTCTCCATCCTCCTCTTCTCCTGGCCCGGCTCTAAATTTAAATGCTGACGGGCTCCAGAGAGAGAGACAGGGAGACCCGTAAAAATAGCAGTCTTAAAATAAAATGGAAAAGTGTTCGGAGCTGCAAAAACTTGGCCGCGCTCTGCGAGGGGCGAAAATTGCGCCCGGATGGAGAGAGAGGGTGAAATTTGGAGAGGTGGGGAAGACCTGCCCATCTCTGTGGTGCCCCATTAGGGGGGATTTGCCCTGAAGTTGTGGGGTTCTGAGTGTTTACACACCACTGGTACCCCCTCCCCAAACCACATTCCTTTAAGGGAGCCACGTCCAGCAAAATGGCGAGATCGCTGGGATCCAGTTTCTGCGCGCCGTGGGCGACTGGGTTTTGCTTCCTGGCGAGCGGAGAGACGAAAGGTGGCAGCCCGCTATGTGGTCTGTGGGCTTTTGAGCTGGGGCAGGGGTTTGAGGGGTCCGGCATTGGCGCCCCCTAGGCAGGTGTCTGATTGGAGGGGGGGTCCTTCAGCGGCAACAGACGGCTCCTGAATTCAGCGCGTGGTTGTGGGAAGAAGTTGCTTTCTATTACTGAGTCAACGCCTTGATCCAACGCCTGTGTTGTCTGCACAGACTGGCAGAAACGGCTCTGTCCGGGTTTCAAATGTGGGGCATACCTGGAGGATGCTGTGTGGGGATTGAACCTGGAGCCTTATAGGGGACTGCATTGACCCATTTAGACACTGACCGGCAGCATTGACCCATTTAGACACTGACCGGCAGCAGCAGTGGCTCTCCCCAGGGTTTCAGGTAGGGGGAACAGCCCTGCCAGGAGATGGATGAAACGTACAGGCCAGGGAGATGGTCCGCCACTGAGCTTGCCTCCTTTCCTCATTTGGGGTTTCCACGTCAGGCACCAAAATATTAATTTGGCTTTCCCAGCCAACCACACACCCCTCTCCTGACTCTGCCTCTCGCTGTGCCAGATTCCGCACTGATGCTGCTTTTAGAAGATGCTCCATTCCGAAGCCATGAGCTTTTGCCTCCCATGTTTAACCACCCGCCCCTTGGCAGCCAGGCTGCACTGTCCCAGCAGCCTCAGTTCCCCCTTACTTCAGCCTCCCAGCAAGCCCAGTACATTTCCGAGCACAATTCAAAGTGTCGGTGCTGACCTTTAAATGCATCGGCCCAGTATACCTGAAGGAGCGTCTCCACCCCCATCATTCAGCCTGGACACTCAGGTCCAGCGCTGAGGGCCTTCTGGTGGTTCCCTCCCTGCGAGAAGCGAGGTTACAGGGAACCAGGCAGAGGGCCTTCTCAGTGGTGGCACCCACCCTGTGGAACGCCTTCCCATCAGATGTCAAGGAAATAAACAACTATCTGACATTTAGAAGACATCTGAAGGCAGCCCTGTTTAGGGAAGTTTTGAATGTTTGAAGTTTTATTCTGTTTTTAGTGTTCTGTTGGGAGCCGCCCAGCGTGGCTGGGGAAACCCATCCAGATGTGCGGTGTATAAATAATAAAATTATTATTATTATTATTACCCACCCTCTTGACCTGCTGCCTTCGCCATCAGGGGAGGGGGTGACTGGCAGGCCAGCCCGCTCTCCCCATGCTAGCCAGCCTGCCTTTCCACCCACACAGCCAGACCTCCGCACTATGCGCCGCTAACAATGGCCTGCTTTGTGCATGGCTCTCCGAGGGTTATGGGAAGAAAGAAGGGGGGAGGTCCACCACCAGCCACTCCTCGCCCTGGCTGGGCCCTTTTCCTGGAGGGCACATTCCTCGAGGCCTCCCCGTGGTACGGCCACACCCTTGGCAGAAGGTGCTGCCGCGCCACTATGTGCTATGCACACAGCCTGCTGGTGTGCAAAGGAGGGGGGCCAGCTGGGGACAGGGGTTGGGGTGGGGGAGAATGTGCCATGGGGTTTGGGCCAAGACGAGGGAAGTGGGGGCAGCTTGGCGTGCCGGGCAGGGCTGTGGCATTCGGAAAGCCCCCCGTTGGTTGCTCTGGAGCGATGGAAGGAGGAAGCCGCCTTGTATTGAGACAAGACAGCCGCTCCACCTGGTTCAGTAGTGCCTGCACTGGTTGGCAGCAGCTCTCCTTGGTTTAGGGCAACCCTGCCTGGAGACACCGGGGACCTTGCACATGTGAAGCAGGTCTTCTGCTGCTGTAAAACGAAACCAAGTTGCTAGTTCTCATGGTCGGATTTAACGAGAGGCTCAGGAAGCTGCCCTATAGTGAGCCAAAATGTTCCATCGCTGGCTGGCAGCAGCTCTCCAGGGTTTCAGACAAGGGGCAGTGGAGAGATGCTGCCGGGGATTGAATTTGGGACCTTCTGCATGCCAAGCAGGTGCTCTCATGCTGAGCTTCAGCCCTTCTCTCAAACACGGGAACGGAGAAAGATGCCTTATGCTGAGCTAGACTTTTCATCCGTCAGTATTGCCCACACTCTCCAGGGTTGCAGCGGGATTCCAGCCCACTGAAAATTTGAGATTCTAGTCCTCGTGGTTCTGCAAAAGGGCTGATTTAAATAAAAGCTGCCTTATTCGGAGTCAGACCATCGGCCCATCCCACTCAGTATTGTCTGCACTGACTGTTCGGACGTGTTGCCAGGGATTGAACCCGGGGCCTTCTGCATGCCAAGCAGTTGTCCTACCACTGAGCTACGGCTGTTCCCCAAAGGCCTGCCTTCTGTCTCCTCTTCTCTCACCCCCAGTTTTTAGGGGTGCCCATCTGGGCTGGGGACTCTGGAGAGAAACAGCAGGTTGGGGGACACATGTCCTTTCCTTGGGGGGGCAGTTTCCTCCTCCTTCCCCCAACCCCACCAGCCTGACCTCTTCCTGCACCCCACCCAACACACACACATGCCCTGGCTTGCTTTTGGTGGGGAACCTGGCTGGTTTGATTGTGGAATTTGCATGCGGGGGGGGGGCGGGGGAAGAGGAATCCCTCATCCCAGGGTGGGATCCTGTTTGCGCTTCTGTGTGAAGTGGGGAAATGAAATACGAGGCATGGCGGAACTGTAAACAGGGCTCTAAATATAACCCATTTTTTGCGCCTGGGTTGGCGAAGCTGGGAACGCCCTCTTTCTCACCCCCCCTCACCCCCCGGACTTTATTTGGGCCTTGTCTCACTGGCAGGCAATCTCTCAGAAGTGCTGCGGGAACCCAGAATTTGCAAAGGCGGTGATGGTGTGGTTTCTGGCTGCAGAGGTGGCTGCTTCGGAGGCATGCGCAAAGTGCCTTCTACCCCATAAACACCAGGAACAACTCTTGTTCTTGAATCTTGCTTGCTGGTTTCCCAAAGGCATTTGGTTGTCTGCTGTGAGAACAGGAGGCTGGACTAGGTGGGCCATTGGCCTGATCCTGCGGGCCTCTGATTAGAGCCAGGGATTGAAATCAGCTAGGCGCATTTTGCACCTGGCTGTCGGCCACTTGCGACCAAGTGAAGATGCCAGGGCACCAGGATCGTGCCTGACATCTGTTGCGATCTGGAGCTGTGTGCCTGGGGATCCGTAGATCTTGCCTGCTTTTCACATGCTAGCAACACACCCCATAGAATTCTGTCTGTGATTTTTTTTTTAATCTGCACAATCAGAACGAGATTCAGGGACCGAAATGTATTGGAAAATACGACTGGCCACCCAAAATAGCAAACTAGACAATTTGTTTTGGCGACTGTAACCCTGGTTTAGGAAGCCATTTGACACCTAGCTTATATATCGTGAGTTTCTAACACTGGGTAGCATACAGATTTCAGACTTAGTGTCTCTTTCTGCCCGAGGGGTGACTCTCCAAAGAATGGGGGAGCTAGATTGTTAGTACACTTATTTTTTGGCTGGGTGGGGGAGTTTGGGGTGGGTTAAAGGTAGTCATGGAAGAAATGCTCCCAGGGTTGGGAAAAAGCTGTTCTCCAGAAACACAGGAAACCTCTTTATACTGAGTCAGACCTTTGGTCCATCAATCTCAGCATCTCCTACTCTGACTGGCAGCAGTGCCACAACATTTCAGGCAGAGAGTCCCTCCCAGCTTTGCCCAGAGAGATTGCTGGGGATTTTTTTTTAATTATTATTATTATTATTATAAATATAAATATAATTTATATCCTGCCTCCCCAGCCAAAGCCGGGCTTAGAGCGGCTAACAACAATAAAAGTAACACAACATTCTAAAATCAATTCATTTTAAAATCAATTCAAAATCAAATTAATGGCAACCATTGGGCTAGAGTTCTGTGAAGATTACCAAAGGAGGGGCTCAGACTGCGCCTTGGCTAAAGGCCTGGTGGAACAGCTCTGTCTTGCAGGCCCTGCAGAAAGATGTCAAGTCCCGCAGGGCCCTGGTCTCTTGTGACAGAGCGTTCCACCAGATTGGGGCCACAGCCGAAAAAGCCCAGGGCCTTCTGCATGCCCAGCAGGTGCTCTATCAACAAGCTGTGGCCATTCTTAATAAAGCACACTGGCAAGTGTGAACAGACACTCTTTTCTCATTCTATGACACTGCCTTTCCCGGTTGCTGATTTTATTTATTTTATAAAATGTATACACTGCTTTTACAAAATCGTTTTGCAGAAAATTGAGTCCCTGTGGGCTGGTGAGGCTTCAGTGTTGGGGCATGA